CAAAATTTTAATAACCTATTGTTCGTTATTGGTTGGTTTCTCAGTGGCATGACCAGCAGCTCTCTTCCCAGTGCTTCCTGAGATGTTTGGAGCACAGGAGAGGCTTTGTGGGAAGGGAAGAAGTGTCTTGGGTGGCAGGTGCTCTGGAGAAGTGTTTCTGATGAGGAGGCTGTGTGTGGGAAGGGATGTCTGAGGAGCAAAGCAAGGGAGGTTTTGGGGGCTGCTCCATGAGGGGATGCCAAGGTTATGTGGTTTTGGGATGTAACCTCAGCCTGATTTGTAAACTGATGTTGAACAAAGATGTTGCTTGGCTCTGCTGGCAGTTAAAATGTCCAGTTCCTCTTGCTGATGCCTGTCACCCACTTTTCCCCCTCTTCCTGCTGCTGTAAGGCCCTACTCTCAATTTAAAGAGAGTAAAAGGTGAACAACTGTGTGTATCTTAGATTGAAGCCATTGCCTCTAGCTTAGTTTATTCAGCTTTTTAAGGAGTACAGTACTCCATAGTACAATACTGCAAAGAGTCCTGACTCTGCTCATCCCCATGTGTAATAGTGAGACATCAGTAGCTGGTCTTGTATTTTATAATAAGTTAACACACACAAACACACGTATATGTAGTTACATGTGTAAGAGAGTCTGTGTCCTTGTGTGTTTGTTTAGGTAGTGTTTTACTTAATAATATTGACTATGAATTTTGGCTAGAAATTCTGTTAGTAGGAACAGACAAAACACATCTCAGGATGGTGTTTTTAAAATTGAAGGCACAAAGCTTGGACAAATGATATTCTGAGGATGCTTTCTTTGACAATCTAAAAAGCATCTTATGAGAGAGACCTAAAATTCATGAAACCCATCCTAATTCCTTTCCTATTTTTTTCTTACACTGGTTTTTGTTCTTTCAGAATGCCACTGTATCTCAGTAGTAAATCTGAAATAATGTTGTGAACAAGCTTTCTAGGATTATGGTTATACAACTTTCCTTGACTCTTGCACTACATCGACAAGTTCCTAGAAAACTGTGGTATATTTACCTGTGTTAGGCAATCAGGGGATCTTGTAGGGTATGAAGACTTCCCCAACATATATGATTCATACCTATAAACCCAGGGACCATTTTAGACTCTTCTGCCAACACACCTTATCAGTTATACTGATACCACTTAGTCCTGCTCCTCCCATCACTTTGTCCTTACTCCTGCTTTCGCAGCCAGTCGCCACTGGTTCTTCACAGATTCATTCTGGTTTTTCCTTTCAGTGCAAGTCCCTATAAACTTGCTCTACCTGGCAGAAAGATTCAGTGGGAATTACTGCAAGTTATTGTTTCCAGTGCCCATGGAGCAGAGCAGTGTTAGAAGCTATCTGGGAAGTCTGAAGTTGTTTGTATTAGACAAGTTCTGAATACAAATGATGAATAGTTTTGGGAGAAGTTGATCCTGTCCTTTTGTTGCTGAAACAACAAAAATGAGAGGCACTGCATTTGAAACTGCTTGTAAATGCATTTACACAGGTGCCACCGTGGAGTGCATTGCTGTGAGACATTACTGACTTGAATGGAACACACATGTGGAGCTTTGCATGTGGGGAGAAGGGACAGATTTAACTCCACCAAATGAAGGGAGAGGAAGACAGATGCAGAACTCTAGAGGTCTGTGCTTTGACCACTTCCCAGGATATGATGCACTGTCCTGGCTAATGCCCAGGAAGTTCCACCTGAAGAGGAGGAAGAACAACTTTGCTGTGCAGTGACCGAGCACTGAACAGATTGCCCAGAGAGGGTGTGGCGTCTCCTTCACTGGGGATATTCCAGAACTGTCTGGATACAATCCTGTGCCATGTGCTCTGGGATGACCCTGCTGGAGCAGGGAGGTGGGACCAGATGCCCCACTGTGGTCCCTTCCAGCCTGACCCATTCTGGGATTCTGTGATGGTAATGGAGAGTTGAAAGCTGCCTTGGTTTTTTCCCTGCTGACTCTGTGGAGCTGCACAGCTTAACTCCTGGGCATTGCATCATGATGAGGAGCTGCCCTTGCTTCCCCTGCAGAGAGTGGAAAAACTTCCCTGGCTTCAGTGGGACAATGACTGGGCATCTACGACAAGCAATCTGGTGAACGTTGTTACTTTCAGACTCTAATTCTGCAATTAGTGAATACAAAGGGCTCTGCATAAAGTCCAGGGCTGGAATTACCACTTTGACTTTCCCGGATGATTTATCTGAGGCATCAGGGAACTGCTGTATAACTTAATTACCACAGCACTACAACAGTTACTTGGAGGCATTGTGCATAAACCAGGTATTTATTGTGCTCAGGGAAGAACCTGCGCAGCTAAAAAACATATCATGCATGTGCAGAGAAATCCTTTGTGATTTGAATGCTGCCAGTGTATGAAGAACTAAAACACAATCATGTATAGCCAGGTGCTGAATGACACTGGAGAGCACAAAGCAATATTGTCTGCAGTCCAGGTCAAGAATTAAACAAATTGAAGTTTGTCAAAGCTTCTCTGGTGGTATCATGGTCAAATGGCTTGAATATTGGCGTCATAATTTGGATTAGTATTTAAATAGGTTGCAAATGTGATGGTATAATACAGTAATTCCTGCCTTTATCACAGAAGTCTAGTCTGGTGCACTTTGGCCTCCTATGCAAAGCAGAAAGGGAGTGATCTGAAAACATGCTGTGCTGTGGTCTGACAGACACCACAGGTGTCCAGGACCTTTGTAGCCAGGCCTGTTATTTGGTTTCACACGTCTCAGATGGATTTGTGTGCAGGTTACAAAGGTCTCGAATCGCTGATTGTTTAACACAGCCACCTACCAGGCCTCAGGAGCAAACCAACAGTTGCTTTTGGCTCAGAATAAAAGTGGGATTCGAATATTTTGAATTGTGTATCAGAGGAAGTGGGCTGTGTTTGGAAGAGCCTCTGCTCTTCCAATCTACAGAGCAGGCTGAAGTCTGGCATCATGTGCAACTCAGCTCTCGCTACAGCATTGTAACAAGCACCTCCATAGTAAACAAGCAGCTGTTGAACTCTTTGGAGGTCATACAGCTGGAATACAGAATAAATGACATTATGTGGAAATTCTGGGGATTAATTTGTTGGAAGACTGCTGACTGGACGAAGCAATGCTTTATTTTTTTGTCATGTGTTGTAAGAAACAGAGGTGGGAGAAGCTGAGGCACTGAGCAAAGGCTCAGGAGATAATGTTCCTGCTACCACGTCAGTTAAATTTTCTGTGCTCTCATTTAATGTCTACAGGATGAAAGTCGCAGCAGTTCCTTTCTCCTTTTTGTTACCTGATGTCTTTGGTTCCTGATGGCTACAGAAGTAATTTATGGTCCTTATCTTTGTGCTTTTAGAGAATGCTTGAAAGAGAGTGATCGATATTGATTGTTTCACATCTGTTTTCTGAAAGGCCAGCATGTTTGAGCACTGCAGCTGACTGGCTCAGGGTGTGCAGGATCTCAGTTGGTGTTCTCAGCACCAACACCTTGTTTTCTATATGCTTTTTGGTACAGCGACATGCCATGATGAGAGTTTTGCATTTCATCCACGGTTGTAGTTGTCGCAAGGGTACACAAGATGTTCCTTGTGAATTATGGTTGGCTTTCAACATGTTGTCCTCCATCCTGACAGTGCTTGAGGTCAAACCTTATGGGTTCATCCTGAAAGCCTTTGAGGGATTTTGTTGAGAGTGGGAAGTACTTCTTGGCACTAAAATCCTTTGGCAAAGCTTCTGTAAGGTGATGTTTTTAAATCACCTGTGTGTGACTCCAGGTTTTAGATGCTGTTTGTAGAAAGCTTTGGCCCATTAGATCGTGGACAGAGGGCATCTTGCAGGACTGACTCTTTCTGTGTCCTGCTTTCCAAACCTCACTTTGTTCTTGTTAAGCCTGGTCTAACCTAGACTGTGAAAAAATACAACTCCATAAGGTTGCCTGCTTGCTCCTGGAATTGTTTCTTCAATTCCCCTTCCTTGCTGACACCTCACATTTGCGTCCAAGTATGTTCTGAGGTTGGAGTTGCTGATTTCCAAAATTCTTTGTAATTTTTGGCTCCTGCTTCTGGGGAGCTGCAGCCACAATGGGTGATTTGTCATCAGTCAGCTTGGTAGAGGTGGAAAATTCATGGGCATGCTGTGGGATCAGCCTTGCTGCACTCGTGCCTAGATGCTAAGCCTTCACCAGCTTGAGTGAAAACATCTATTGTGTAATTTGGCTGAGGCCAAATTGTGCTTTTTCTGGCAATTTCCAACAAAAATACTGCTAAGACTCTTGCTGTGAAGTGGCAGGACAGTAGTATGTCCTTAAACATGATTTTCCTGAATAATTGTTTGAAACGGGCAAATTATTCACAGGGTGCTTCCTGAAAGGAAGCTGAATTTATGTTTAGGAAGTTCTGAGATAAGTTTAACAATTCATACTTCTTAATTTTATTATTTAACTTCTAAAATATTGCAAGAAATATAATAGATATGTTATTTAGATTTTCTGCTGTGGATTAAAGTAAAGCTTATTCATTTTAGCAAAGGAAAATGTTGTCCTGGGAGTTTTGATCGGAGCTGAACCTTAATTCTGCATTCCTCCTCAGAGGAAAGATTGGAAATGGTGAAGAAGAAAATCTGGCAACTGCAGAAAAACAAACTGTTTCTGATTGAGGGTTAATGGGCTCTTATGAAGGAAAACAAGAATTTTACATGTATCATCAGTGTATGTGGTGTAACAAAAGGGACTTCCACTGGTTGTAAATGAAGTGGGATCTGAAACACAGACAACAGTTTAGTACAGTGGAAGAAATCCTCTCTCTTGAAGGAAAATTTAGAGTTTTCTTTTCTTAGTTATGCTTAGTAACTGAACAATAGAGTCTCTAAGGTATTTTTTGCATTAAATCAGAGAACTGTGTAAGTTTTTATCTCTGTGTTGTGGCAGGGGTGTCTCTGTATTTATATACACTGGTGTCAAATACGTCTTAATGAATGTAATAACTTTTTGTTTTTCTAGGTTAGTGGATGACCGATGTGTGGTTCAGCCAGAGGCTGGTGACCTTGCTAATCCTCCAAAGAAGTTCAGAGGTCAGTAACTGGGGGTAATTTCTCTTTAATGACCAATTGGTTCATGTTCCAACTCCTTGAGCACTTTGCCTTACCAGATGTGTGACTTCCCAGATGGTTTGTGAGCACGTTGGGGAAGTTTCGAACTGGAATGTAAATGACAGATTTTGAGAGCTAAATACAAAACTTGCCAAGGCACAAGGGGCAGGTGGAAAATATAGGGAAAGGGACTAATTTTCTTGTAGTCCAAGAGTTGATTGCTGCTCTGTACACTGAAGGCTGGGTGACAAACTCTTTGCTCCAGCCCTGCTTCTGCTGTAAATGGGAAACAAGCTTGTGAGGTCCAAAACTACTTGAGCTGCTGGATTATTTATTTCTTTTAAAGATAAGACAGCATTTGGAAGGACTACCTCCACATTTTTTGTCAGCTTTTTGTTTTGCCTTTGCTTAAAACCATATCTGATTTTTTTTTCAACTTGACCTTGTAGATTTGGATAATTCTGCTGTTCTGCTTATTGGAAAAAATAACAGTCCACTGACAACATGTGGTTTGTACTTCTTGAGTGCTAAAAAATACTCTTAACCGTGCCAAAGCAGAGCCTTACTAGACCTCCTTTGGCTTAAAAGGGCTTGGATTCACACCAGTTATGGAGGGCAATGAGTTTCATGGCTGCTTGTATTTATCTTAAATGATTTTTAAAGTCCCTTCCATCCCAAACCTTTCTATGATCTTGAGGGGTTGCACTGACATTCTTAACTTTATTATTTTATTCCCAGTGTTCCTGTATATGCTGTTATTGCAAAAAAAAAAAAAAAAGGGCATTTAAACCATTGAGAGACTGAAATTCTGCTTTCTCAGAGCATTCAAGATTTTTTTCCGTTATAAATTCAGGAAACATCAACAGTTGGTTCCAGTTCCAGATGTGAGCCCATTGGCAGATCTTGGAAATTGAGAAAGTGAGAATGTATACTTAGGAACTAGGAGTAATAAATTTCAGTCACTTGCCAAACTAACTCCATAGCAGAGATGGGGATGGCATCCAGTGTGGCTTTCAGGCTACCTGAGTGTGATTTCATCCTCTTGCTGCCTGGAAATACTTTTGTAAATCATGGTTTCCAGGTTGCACAAAATTTCAAGTTGGGATCCTCAGACAGTTTTCTGTCACTGGACTATCCTGATGTGTTCCCAAAGAGGAGCATATCCAGGATTCTAGATGAGACGAAGGTCACTGGGAAAGGTTTGTGATGGTATAATTGAAGAATACACCCAAGTATCTCCAATCTGAACAGAGGTTAAAGGCACAACCTTAATTTTTTCACTGGCTGGTGTTTGAGGGATTGATTTTATAACTTCAGAACAGGAGAGTTCTTTTATTGCAGTTCTGTGTTGTTAATCTCTAACTTCAAAAGGGAAAGATGGGAAAAGTTGATAATGTTCTGTGTTGATTTTTTGGTTTTTTTTTTTGTAAGTGATTTCAACAGCCTCAGGTGTGTCTGGGCACTTTGCTGCAGGCGAAAACTTGTTGAACTGTCAGCACTAACGCCTGGTCAGCAGTGGTGGCAGTACATGTGGAGGTAGAACAGATGTCAGGACGGGATGAGGCACTGCCAAGATCCACAGCTGTTTGCTGCTGCTACTGGGAAGAGCAGGGGCTGCACTCCTGCGTTACATCCCAGCTTCTGCAGGGGGATGTTTTCTATTAGTTGTAGACAGTTTTGGTTCTGTTCTCTGTTGTGACCTCTGTCTCTTGCCTGCATAGCACATCCCTTTATCTCTAGCTGCCTCTGCTCCCTCTTCTCCACAGCACCTAACCTTTCCTCCAACTCAGATCCTCCTCTTCTTGGGGATCCCCTCTTGTCCCTTTCCCTTCCTGTTCCAAAACCTGTTAGTAGCTACTTTCCTCCTCCCCCCTGCTGCCTCTTACCTCCCTTTGCAACCTCTCTTCCAGTCACTCCTTAGCTCTTTCTAGTTTACTGTGCACCCAGATGTCACTTAATTTTGATATTGCCAGCATTGTAGTAGCATGAAAATTTGGATTAGCTGCAACATAAAGTCACTGAATGGTTTGGGTTGGAAGGGACCTTAAAGATTATTTTATTCTACCCTCTGCCATGGACAGGGACACCTTCCACTAGCCCAGGTTCCTCAGAGCCCCATCCAACCTGGCCTTGGACAATTCCAGGGATCCAGGGGCAGCCACAGCTTCTCTGGGCAACCTGTGCCAGGGTCTCCCCACCCTCCCAGGGAAGAATTTCTTCCTAATATCCAATCTAAACCTACTTTCTGTCAGTGTGAAGCCATTCCCTCTTGTCCTGTCACTCCATGCCCTTTTTAAAAGCCCCTTACCAGCTTTCTTTAGGCCTTCTTTAGTTACTGGGAGGTGCTATAAGGTCTTTAACACCTGTAGGAGAAAATAAATTGGTGAAAAAGTGAGTTTTGTGACTTTAATTGATGCAACCCACCACTCTATAACATGTTGGGGCTGCATCCAGTACCATATTCCTGCTGCTTCAGGTAATCAAGATGTACTTGGGAGGGTGGCTGCAGCAAAAATAAAGCCATTGTTTGGATGTTTTCTCTTTCACCTCACAAGTCAAATTCCAAGTGCGGGAATAGCAGGAGTTTTGCTGGGAGCTCAGCAGGAACGTGCTGTCTAACTGGGATGTAGTGCCTGGTGCCACAGAGGTGTCTCTATTGCAAAAGCACCCAAAAGCACATCTCTGCCATGCTTTGTTAAATTTTGTAGCTCTGCTTAGAGCACTGAGGCAAAAGAGTTGCTAAATGCTGGTCCTTTAACTAAGAAATGTAAGCAAAATGCATATTTTTCTCCCTAAGCATCTTCTGGGAAATAACCTTCAATTAAAACAGCAAAGTTAATAAATGAAACAAAACCTGCTTTAAGTACATTCTTGACATAAAAAGAAGACTTAGGCATGAATGATTAATTGAATGATTAGACATAAGCAACTGAAAATAACATCTAACAGCGGGATGAGTGGGGCCTCTTCAGTAATAGGAACTGCTGTCTGCATGGTTTACAATGTTTTTATCACTGAGAGCTGAACTGGCGTTGATTGGAGGTTAGAGCATGACCTGGGAGTCAGAGAAGTATGAGAAAAAACATATTTCTAACAAGATGTTTAGATTTCAAGGACTGACTCTGAAAATTAACATCAGAGGACTGTGCTTGGTCTTTTTTGGTTATACTTTATCAACTCTTTCCCCAGTGGAAGAAAAAAAAACAACCCAAAGACTGCGGTTTTGAACTATTTGTATGTCTCCTACAGAGTTCACTCAGAGAACAAATTAAGGTACTGAGCTGTTGGCCTGAACTGAAAGCCTATGAAAAGAGGTGTCTCAAAATAGCAGTTTCATTTTTGTCATGTGTTTACTTTCTTTTTTCTTCTTGAGTGGGTGGTTGCTATTCTGGTTGTTTCGGAACACCTCCCAGAACAAGGTGTTGTTCAGCTGAGAAAAGATGTGGTTGCTTTTCATTTGTCCACATGAAGCAGCTGTGGTCCCAATTTCTCCTTCAGTCACACTGGGATGAACCTGGAGTGGCTCTGTGTTCACATCCAGATTGGCATCAGTGCACAGGAGAGCAGAATTTGGCCCCACACGTGTTTCCAGAAGTCTGATGAAAAAACCACCAAACTTTTTCTGTGTTTTGCTGTTGTATTTAAGAGACTGATCAAGCCAGGTGCCGCTTGTCCTAAATCAAACTGGAGCTAGTGGGAGCCAAGGCATTTATTGCTGTGATGGAAATGCTACAGGGCCAGGTTCACAGAGATTAGGAAGAACAGTGTGTGCCAGAAGTCGTGTACCTTTGAAGAAAAGCCACATCATGAGCCACAGAACTGCAAGTTTCCTCAGCCTGTGACCTTAAACGCGCTTCAGCTTGGTACTGTTATCTCCAATAGGAAACACTTTGAGCTTCCAAGGTGTAAAATAGAACAGATAAGACCTGCTGGTTGGTCAGATTTAGCATCTCTGAAAAAGGAGCACAGGTCTGCCTTTTATTTGTTAAACAGACCTCAGTTTGTACACTGGTTTAAAATTCTTTACGTTTTGTACCCCCTTTTCTTGAGACATCTGCAATGAGAGTGATGTTTGAGTTGCCAAATATCCTCTCTTTTTGAACTGTTAGTCTGATCTAAGCTTTTTCTTACGTTGTTCTTTCCTCTTCTCTCCCTTCCATTATGTTGTTCTATGCTCTCTCCTTTCTTCCTCCCACCTGCCATTTTCCTTTTTACTTGCTTTCTACATACTTTTGGTTTGTTTTTGTGTTTTCTACCTGTTTCTCAGTTCCATAATTGCTTTCATTTGCTTCTCAGACTCCTGACAGCTTTTTTCCTTGTCCTTCTTAGGACTCTTCTTTGCCTCACTCCTTGCTCCCTCACGTTTTCCCCTTTCCATTCTCACTTTAGTTCTTTTTCACCTTCCTGTATTTTTTTTTTCCAAAACATGTAGATTTGTACACACTGTGATTTAGTAGCCACATCACTTCCACTTACCCATTTCTCAGCCTGCTGCTTTTGGTAAAGCCACGTGATAATTTCTCTAGTTCTGCAAATCACAGAAATCTTCCATTGTGGGCAAGAGTTGAATTTCTAACACTTAAAAAAAAAAACCAAGAGGGAGAAGGGAGAGAAAGCATCTGACAAATATTGTTCTAAACCATCTTTATTCAATATCAAGGAGCATTTAAAGGGCATATAGGAGTTATTTTCCTTTTCAGACCTCCTGAGTGTAGTTGCTATTTGTTTATCTTTGATAAATGCCTATTTAATTAGAGTCCTCAGGAAGAGAAACATTTATGTAAAACCCCATAAAGTAATGAATTAGGAACTAGGATTATCTGAGAATGTCTGGAGAAGTTAGAAGAGATGGTCTGTTTCATCACTGGGTTGCTGGACTGACCTCCAGGAGGGCTGAGCTCTTCATCTACTGTGTGTGCTGGAAAGTTGCTTTATAATCTTATGCTCCGGTTTCTCTTTATTTCCCTGTTTATGTAAATTACAGCATCTCTAGGGCAGGCACTGTTCCACACCCCCATGATGTTTAGGATCATGAAGCTTGAATTTACATAGTATCCTATTGTTACTGTAATAAAAGAAGTGGTGGTGGGGGGAAACAAACCAGAAAAAACTAATAAGATGACCCACTTTTAATGTAGCTGGAATCCTAAAAAACAAAATCAAAAAGGAAAAAGCTTGTCTGGAAGCAAATAATTTAGTCCATAAATTGAGAAAAACACAATTGAAATAATAATGATTTTAAAGAAGTTGGAAAGCACTAGACTGGAAGTCAGGAGAGCTGTATGCTGCTGAGGTTATCCAGCCCCTGCTCTACATTTCCTTTTCCTTGAGAACTATCATCAGGAAAAATTCACCCACCTTTGGAAAGAGGAGCCCCAAGCAGTGACTGCACATCCGTGCACATCTCGGGTTCCTCTGCAGAGTGGGAACACTCTGAGTCTCTGCAGGAGAATGGGAAGTGCTGTGTTTACTCAAGGAGCAGGATGTGTGGGGAGTAACTGAGAAATGAAGACTGGTCCTATAAAAAGAAGGTATTGTTACTTCAGAGAAATAAATGTTTCATGAAGCCTTCTGAGAAGGCACGTTAATTATAGATTACACAAAATAATAGCAGAGTTTTTGTTTTAAGAGCTGAAATCGCGATAATTCAAGTAAAATCTTCTACAACACACAGTAGGATTTAATGGTACGCAGCAGTTTGTAGTATTTTTTTCCCCTCCTTGGTTTCCAGGATATTGTAAAAATTACCTGGGAGTTATGTACTCTAGATTGCATGATATAATTCCCATTATAAATGGTCCCCTTTGAAACGAAACCAAACACCTTTGCAAGGTGGCTGGGCTTGCTTTGATAAGGATTTGTAACACTTTTTCCTGGGAACAGCAACTCAGGGCTGCCATGAGGGAGCAAATCGGAGGACTTGGGGTCAGTGCCAAGGAAAGTTCTGCCACTGGTGGTAATTCTGTATGAACAAGCTTTGCCACTGGGAATAGGGGGTGGATTAGTCTCCAGACAATGCTTGGCCATCTGTGACAGTTAAATATGGAAGGCTAATAGTTTGGGATAGGCCTTCCTTTGACATCTATAGTTTGCAGCCCATTTGGGGAAGAGTTTCGCTCTATAACACACAGACAGTCCTGTATGTTCTTACCAGTCTTACAGCTAAACTGTTTTTCCTGTCACCAGTTAATACATGTAGTGTGTGAAAGGACACCAACATTTGCTAAGGAAAATGTCTTTCAAGCCTGGCCTTTAGACCCGCCGGTGATTGGGACCATGTGAGACTAGGTATAGTTTATCATTCTAAAAGTAGTCAGCTTTGGACGAATCATGAGCCTCTATTTCCAGTTTATAGGACTGTCACTGGACAAAATAAACCCCAAAGTGAGGGAACTTCACAAAATTCAGTTTATTGCCAATTAACATGACCTTTCAATTACTGACTGCAGTCTCCTCAGGGTGTACCTGCTCCTCTCTTGTTTGCACAGCCACCATGCTCAGGTGGTTCTTCCTTCCTTACCTGCTTTTTCCCTCGTCTGTTGGATGGTGGTGATGTTCAGATTGTGTCACTTTGGTTTAAAAAACCCAAACTAACACCAAAAACAACTTAGTGAAGGTGTGCAGAGACCTAAACTCCATGTGAACCTCTTTGGCAGCTTGTAGGTGAATGTGAATGAGTGCAATCCTTGTTTTCAGCAGTGTCAGAAGGAGCTGGGCAGCCAGGGGGACATCAGGATCGTCATGTCACCCTGCTTGTGGTGTCACTGCCATCAAGCTGTTTGGTGGCTGTGTTTAAACACTGGTACCTAGACATTTCTGGGCGAAGAAAACCAACCAAAGCACACTTACAAATGGAGGAAATGTCTTTCAACAGGACTGAGGAGTGTTTCTTTCAATCTCTCCCCAGATTGCCTTTTCAAGGTGTGTCCCATGAACAGATACTCAGCCCAGAAGCAGTACTGGAAAGCCAAGCAAGCCAAACAAGGAAACCACACTGAAGCAGCACTGCTGAAGAAACTCCAAGTAAGAGACATCTGTGTTTGTAATCTTATCTCAATCTGCAGGCTGTGGAGTTACAATGGCACGAGAAAAAATAATAAGTGTCTTGGGAACCACTGTGATGGGTATTATTATGCCACCATGGCAACTCTGTATTCTCCTTAACTCTCCTACCTCCTGGCTGGCATTTGTTGCCCCTGGCTTGGTTTTTGTCTTGCTTTGGACTGAGGGCTGTGCCTGTGCTATAAGCAAGGTATTGCTTCCAGAAGTTTTATGAAGTAAAAATGGAGTTGTTAAAACCTGGTTTAAATTATGCTGGAAGTCCTTTCCAGAAGTTAGGCAGAAGAGTGGACGAAGATATGTTCTCAGTACTTTAGTCTGGAAATTCCTCAGCATTGTGATTGTCCTTGTTTTCCTTCTGAGTGATTCTTTTCTGAAACATTTTGCAGATTCTATTTTGCCTCAGATATAGTGTGGATGGAGCAGCCCCTCCGTCTCTGAAGAACAGCTGGCTTGATGTTATAGCTGAATGCACAAGGCTCAGTGAACACAAGGGCATGTCAAACCTGGGGACAGTGCCATGGGCAGTGGAGAGGCCGCCAGTGCTCCCAGTTAAAAACGGCAAGGCAGGCACATGGTGTGTGGCCGGAGTTACACAGCCACTAGTGGTAGGAGCTCAGAGTTTGTTCTGTGGTTGTGTTTGACCCAGACTATTGTGCTTAGCCTGGATGTTGCCAGCTGTGACCTACTAGTTTTATTTTGTCACGAAGTCCATGTATTTGTAAGCAATTAAAACCCTGACGAGTAAAAGGAATGATGACAGCGAGAAGCTAATCATAGGTCTTTTTTTTTTTCTCCCCTTCAGGATGAAATAAAGCCCCTGGAATTACTTTTTGTGCTTAAAATATTTAAAAATATGTTGTATCTAAAGTGGGATCCATAAATTGTGACTGAGCTTCTATTATGGATAATAAAAAAACAGAATCAGCATCAGAATTTTGGTGCTAATATTATCAGTTCAGTGATGCTTTCATTTTAAATGCGATGCCATTTCCTTTTTCTCTGTTTCCGTAGCCAAATACAGGTACTGATTTTGTAGAGTTTAAAGCAATAATCATTCTCTTGCAGCATGCAGCAGAGCTGGAACAAAAGCAGAATGAAAGTGAGAACAGAAAGCTGCTGGGCGAGATTGTAAAATACAGCAATGTCATACAGGTAAACCCATTGAAATCCCTCTGCCTTCTCTCGGTGTTGGAAGGGAAAACAGTTGTTTTATTTCAAGGTTACAGTGAAAATGAAAGTAACCACTGTAATCTGGATTGCCAAGGGTCAGGTAAACACAGCTTGGTGAAGTTTACAATATTGTACTTTTCTGCCTCGTTTTAAAGCCTGCCAGAAGTGCTGCACATTGGTGTTTAAATAAGATGTCATAATAAAAATTCTGTGTATGATATTTGGTGCTGCAGTTTGGAATCTGAACATAAATATGTGCCTTTTATTTGCAAGATTTATTTCCAAATTGTCTTGTAGAGGTGCTGCACAGCTCCTTTTAAATCATTGAAGTAATTTGTATTTCCTGACATATAAATGAGACAGAAGCTGTGTTCTTAAGTGCAGTACAACTTTCCTGTAATGGATGAAATTCCTGAAGGTAACACTTTAATAGACCTGGTTAGTGTGTGCTGTAAAATTGATCACTGACACATTTCTCTCAGTCTGAGATATATCATCAGTTTAGTTTTCCTAAACTGTACTATACTTTGATAACTCTCTTCTAGTTTTATTTTGTCTTTATATATATTATGAAAAATCACTACAGTGTGAAACCTGCAATTCTTCTTTGACTGGAGAGAGAGAAAGCATCAGCTGTCCTAATTATTTTAATTATTTATTTTAATTATTCTCTGTTCACAGCTGCTGCATATAAAAAGTAACAAGTACCTCACAGTCAATAAGAGGCTGCCAGCCCTGTTGGAGAAGAATGCCATGAGGGTGTCTCTGGATGCTGCAGGGAACGAGGGATCCTGGTTTTATATCCAGCCCTTCTGGAAGCTGAGAAGTGAGGGTGACAATGTAAGTGGAGATGCTGAATGTGTGAGAGGGAGAAGGCAGAAAGTTTCTAGAAGACACCTGATTTCTTTGCTACTGGCCTATTTCATAATTGATTAAGTTCAGGAAAAAAATACTTTAAGCAGTGCTTGGGACTATTGGCTTTCATGGGTAACTAGAAGCTCTTTCCAAATTATATGGTCTGGAATCTGAACTGTTGCCACATTCATCTGAGCCTCTGCTGACCTCTCTGTTGGGGCATCTTTACTAAGTCTGCCTGTTGTGTGCAGTTTTACAAAGCTGATAATAACTCACAGACTAAATTTTTTTAAAGGGTTGGGGGTTTTTTAAATGTTCCAGGCAAGATTTTTATTTGAGAAGTCAGTAGAGAATGTCTCTAGGAAATACATCAGTCTGTACTCCCCCTCAACATGAAAGTGGTATCTATGACTGGAACTCGGTTGGATAGTGTGGGAAGTCTTTTCTTGGTAGGTCTCAGTAGGAGTTTTGCATCTTGGTAAGAGGAAGGGTACATAGGAAACCTCTTTGCTGCAGATCTGAGAGCTGTGCCCTGAGATCACAACTTGGCACTTCATTCTCTTGGCTGTGGCTTGGTTAAGTGCCCACTGTGGAGAATTCAGATCTGGGCAGGCCACATATGAATTTGTGTGGTTTTATAGTGTAGATCTGGCTGGGAATGTTTGCCCCCTCTTGCCTGTGCAGTGATCAGTGAAAGCTCTCTCAGGATCACAGATGGGAATGCCTCTTTTCTCCTGGATTTTCTCTTGTTAACTTTGTGGTTATCCAGCTCTTGGGATGCCATCCAGGATGACTGTGGTTGCTTGCAACTCCTTTAGGCAATCTATTGTGGAGAGGAGAAGGACTGCATTCCCAGCTCCTGGTCCAATGTCCCTAAAGTCAAAGTCTTTTCCTGCTTCATGTAGTGATCAAAAGAGTATGTGAAAATTCCTCTTTTTCCCAAAGCCTGTTACAGAGAACTAGAGCAAATGTAGCCCTCTGGGGGGTCTCTGCATGGCTTTTCAGGTGGGGAAAACAATTGTTGTGGATCAAACATTAACCTGTTATTCTTTTCCCTCCTAGGGAAGAAAAAAGAGTGACCATTGCTTTAAGGTTTTGCCTTAATTTCTTAGAGTAACATCAGTTCAGCATCTTCCTAATTTCTCATACCTGAAAATTAATTACATGTCTTGCTCTCCAGAGTGAGGACCTGGGATTCCCAGGCTGTGATCTGCAAAGCCCTTACACCTGGAAACAGCAGAATGATCCCAAGCCTTATAAGTCATCCTCAACACTACAGAGTTTTTGATTCAATTTTACACTGTTGAGCACCCTTAAGAGTTTGGAAGCAGATTTGCTGATCTAAAAAGGTTGCAGGTGATCAGTGATCTCTGTAACATCCCATTCCACAGACCTCTCTCCTAGTTTGTTCCCTGTGGGGCTGTATCTGATGCTCTCTGAGTGCTCTGTAGGAAACTGTCAGGCTCACTCCTAACTTAGTCCTCCTTTGGAACCTGCCTGCTGCTCATCTTCTGTCACCAGGTGTTGCCTTTCAGGGCTGGGATTATAATTTATAGAGGAAATTTCTTGAGACCCAAGTTGTTCCTCATTTCCACCAGGCCCAAACAGATCTGATAATTTTCTTTGCAAACTTCCGGTGATAAACATGACTCCTTTGGTAGCTTTCTCATAACTGCTCTGGCACGTTTCCAGCCCTTCAACAGACCCAGAAACCAGGCAGCTGTTGCATGAGGCTTAGCAAGTGATGGGGGAAATCCTAATTTGCTTCTCACAGATGGAGAGAAGGCCAGACTTCTACCCACTCCTTTCTTCTCAGTTAGTCCCAGGCATGGAGTAACTTAGACCTCTCAGTGCATGGTTTCTGTTTGGAAACTTTGTGGATTTTTAAATTTGTTTTCAGTTTCCTGTATCAAGGAAATTCCCTAAGAAAACATTTTAGAAAGTCTGTCAAACAATAGAAGTGATTATTGAATTACTGCTTTGAGGACTGCTACTGTGCTAGGTTACCCAGGCAAGGTAGATCCAAATATACCAAATATCCTAACAGAAATCTGGGGGGAAGCTGTGATACAAGAAGTTATGTGTGTGACTGTTCTGGTAAGTCATCACAGTTGTTCAGCCCTATGAAATGTTTTAGAACTTAGTCTTCTGAAGGAGGGTTAGCTTAGATTCATTAGCAACTGATTAGATATGCAAATCAATGAAAGTAATGAAAGAATATGGCTGAAAATTTACGGTAATTGGCATAACTGCAATATTTGCTGCAGACTTTATTAAGTCTTCATTATTTATGGAGCTCTGCTTCAGTGAAAGATGTGGCTGATTAAGGCTAGAGCTGGTTCCAGATTGTTTGAATAGCAGAATAATTGCTAAAATTTGAAGTGTGTCAGCTATGCCACTGGCAGGTGTGGACATGGAGTAGCAGGGCCTTTGGTGTGCAGGACTAACTCCATTGCATTCAAGACTGAAGGGCCTTGTAGGTTTAACTTGAATTCAAAAACTGGATTCTTACTGGCTTCACTGTGAGTTTAATCATTTGTTGGAACTCTCTTATCTAGACCAGCAAAGATAAGAGTTTTTTCAAAGGGATCATGAATAAAATCCTCAAAAGCTGTGTGTCTGAGGCAACTTTTCATGGCTGTGTGTAAGGAAGAAGTCCCAGAGACCTGTCAAACTATTACCCGCTGCTGGCCTACAGCACACTGTGTCCAGCTGGGCTGAAGGGTGGCTGAGGAAAATGAGGAAGAGCCGGTGTCAGTTTTAATTTTGTAGAGCAAAACTTTAGGAATGTATTGCTCTGTCTTCTCTGGTCTCCATGTGGTACAAATCTACAGGCAGAAATAGGGGCACCTGGGCTTGTGGGTGCTCTGCCTTTGGTGTTTCGGGCATGCTGGGGCGTTATTTAAAGCCAGGAATAACTGGGGAGGGGATGGGAGGAAGGCAAGAGCGCAGACTTGTATAAGAGAACAGGATTTCTGTTGTTTTCTGCATCACTGGTGGGGAGTGTCTGGGAAGCAAGGGCTGTGAAATTGCCTTTATCCTTTCCTTCCCAACCACTTATGGAGGTTTGAAGCCTAAAGGAAAAGAAGAAAGGAAAAGAGCATTGGATGCCTTGTTGCTCTTTTGGCAGCCAGTAGAGCTGACCAGCACTGAGAACAGGTTGCTGAGGTGGACTTGGAGCAAGGGAGGAGTCTGAGACAACAACCATGACCCCACATAACAGCTCTTCCTCAGATGTGTGCCTACAGCAAAGTAGAAAAAGATACTTAATGATGCTCTTACTAATTAAAGTTATGATAGTCCTTGTGTACATGCAATAATTTTGAAGTCCTGATTCCCCTTTGCAGGGTGCAAGCCTGGTGGCATTTTGGTTAATGAATTGTCTGGTCATAACTTCTTAAAACAGGCTGTAAGTAATGTGTGTGTGGAGCATGGCATGCAGGAATGTAATGCACAAGTAAACCGTGTCTTAAAGGCATCTTGTCATTATTTTGGTTCTGCTATTGAACTTGTTCCCATTGTTTGGATAAAGTAGGATTTTTGTGTGTTGTCTGAGCATGATGACACTGTCTTGTGCTGCTGTTTATTTTAGCTTTGTTGATAAAGAACAGACAACCTTCCTTTTTACCTCTGCAATAAATGGGCCAAATTCACGTGTTGGAGTGACACGAGGTTGAGTTGGGCTGTGCTTTTCCATAGGAAATGTGCTGATCAATGCAGAAAGCTGTTTTGTTTCTTTGCCTTCCAAAAGAAAGCATGGCTTGTGGAGCATTTTTTATGGTAAAAAAATCACGTGTAGCCACTTGTCTTCATGTCTGTGTGTGTTTAAAATTGCTGTGAACAACTTAAGCAAATCAGGACCCAGCACCAAGCAATCTATGTGGATTGATCTTTTTTTATTATTTATTTCTTTCTCCCCTTCCAGGCATGAATTGAATTCTCCATATGCATGTCTCAAGCAGTTTTTAGGTCAAAGTGTTTTTCCCTGTCTGTATAGGTAAAAAATTGCAAGGGCATGAGAATTTGCTTGTAGGGAGTCAGCTAGGAATTCCTCTTGTAGAGAGAAGGTCTCTCAGCTGATGCACCTGCTGCTTGTGCTGAGCTCCAAACACTATTTAGAAAGTAACAGCAGAGGGGATGGAGTGCATTTTTCCTCTCTCTGACTTTGCAGTGATTTATGTTCCTCTCTGGATTGGAGTCATGCAGTCTAAATCACAGAACTCCTGAGCCTGTCATCACTTTTGCCAGAACATGGACCACAGAGCTCAGGAGCCACGATTATTTTCTAAGCTTTCTCTGCCTTTTGGCTGCAGTAAAGAGTAGTTAATGTAATTTTTAGATGAACTGAAGTGCTGTTGGAATTCATAGATTCATATCTATTTCATAGCCTTGAGTTTCTGCTGAAACACAGGTGACGTGTTTACTGGGAATGTGAGGATTCATTAGTGGGAAGTATTGAACCCTGTGATTGCAGAGCATGGGTGAACAGAGCTGCTGTGTGAATTGCCTGCAAATAAATTCCCTCCCTGCCGTTCCTAGAGCATGCACTTGAGTCATTGTCTAAAAATGTAACATTGCTTCATTTTATTGGATAACTGCGTAGATCTAAAATGCACTTTATTTCTGACTTGCAGGTTGTTGTGGGAGATAAAGTTGTTCTCATGCCAGTCAATGCAGGGCAGCCTCTGCATGCTAGCAATATTGAGCTCCTGGATAACCCTGGCTGCAAAGAGGTGAGCTCAGGGTAGGGAGGAGGGGTAACTGCTAGTCTGAGATGTGTTATAGAAAGGCTGAGAGTACTGGGATTGTTCAGCCTGGAGAAGAGAAGGCTTTGGGGTGACCTAATTGTGGCCTTCCAGGACCTGAAAGGAGCCCACAAGGAAGATGGAGAGAGACTATTTCCAGGGGCCTGGAGTGACAGGACAAGGGGCAATGGCTTCAAACTGACAGAGAGCAGGTTTAGATTGGATATTGGGAAAAAATTCTTCCGTGTGAGGGTGGTGAGGCCCTGGCACAGGTTGCCCAGAGAAGCTGTGGCTGCCCCTGGATCCCTGGAAGTATTGAAGACCAGGTTGGATGGGGCTTGGAGCAACCTGGACTAGTGGAAGGTGTCCCTGCCCATGGCAAGGGGTGGAACTGGATGATCTGTAATGTCCCTTCCAACCCAAGCATTTCTATCATTCCATTCTATTCTTTACTGGTAGCCAGAACCCACCGTGGGCCCACGGTGGGCTCTAAGCCAGTATTAAACATTGCTTCCAGCCTGGCCTCAAAAAAAACCAAGGGGAAATATTCTTGGTGCAGTTGTGCCTGGCACTGAAAGCTTTGTGAGGCTTGCTTGAGTATCTCAGACTCTCACTGAGGTAAGTCCTTGTCCAACATCTCTTCAGGATGTTTTTTGGAGGCTGTCAAGAGACAGCATTTTGCCTGCCCAACCTTTTCTAGTATCAACCTCATTAACACTTGGGATCTTCAGGCCCCACGTTAGAAACTGTACAAATACGTAGCTAAGCCATGTCCCCTGCCATCCTAGATGTGGTGTGGTCTTTTAGAAAAATAGAATATCTCAAAAAGAAAAGGACACCCTCTAAGACTCTAATTGGGTTGGTTTTTTTTGTTGTTGTTGTTATTGTTTTCTTTTTTTTTCTTTAAAGGTAAATGCTGTCAACTGTAACACAAGCTGGAAAATAACTTTGTTCATGAAATTCAGTAGTTATCGAGATGATGTCCTGAAAGGAGTAAGTATGATTTTTAAGTTGTTTTTTGAATCTGAAAAATTATATTGTATAAGACTGTAGAGAAATATTACATGGTGAATAAAAGAAGTGAGGACCTTGTGGAGCTGTTGAGGATCCCTCACTACTGCCCTTCAACAGGTAGAATGTTTTTCCTTTGTATTTTTGTCTTACTATATGAAATTTGGATTGTTCTGGCTTCCAGCCCCTTTCCCCTCCCACAGAAACTGAGGAGCACAGAAACTGAGAAAAGATGAGGTTCAAGCTCAGGATGATGAGAGTACAGAATAGCTGTGACACTTCAGGTTATGCCAATATGTTAAAAGTGGTGTAACAGGCTTGCAGAAGGGAGTGAGGCATGAAAGGTGCCAATAGCTGCAATAAGACAACATAGCTTTAAATACTGAGATATTGCACAGTTTTATGCCTGCAGATCAATCTCTGAGGTAATTTACATTTCCATTTTAAAGATATATTTAATTTGTCCTCACATACACCTCAATAAGTCATTATCCACTGGTTACTTTTCTGTGGGTATCAAGGTACCAGCAGTTTTTGAGGAGGAATTTGAAAGGGAAAATGGTGCATTTGTGTAGACCTATTTGGGGATAGTGCTTCAAGCCTTAGGAAGAGGCAGAAGGAAACAAAGATGATGCCAGCAGAAGAAAAAGAGAGGGGGAGCTGGTGTTGGTTGCAGAGAAGAAGAGTTATGATATTAGAAAAATTTCTGCACTCCCCTTAAATAATAATAAGAGGGATTAGAAATAATAATAAAAAAATCAATTTAGTAAGGTTAACTAGAATTAAAACCCACCTTTAGGTTAATTGTTGCCCACTCTTCATTGCTATGTAGAAATGATGTAGAAAATGAGTCCAGCAGCTTTGCTTACCACTTCATAATGTTTTGTTTTCATATGATTTCAGGGAGATGTCGTCAGGCTATTCCATGCAGAGCAAGAGAAGTTTCTGACCTGTGATGAATATGAGAAGAAACAGCATATTTTCCTCCGTACTACATTACGTCAGTCAGCCACTTCTGCAACGAGTTCTAAAGCACTGTGGGAAATAGAGGTTTATTTTTTCTTCTTTTTATAAATATTTCAGGGCCTGAAGGCCAGGGTTCAGTGAAAAGACTTTGCCACAACATGAGTCATTCATAGCCTCTTGATATCATCGTACACCTCCCTGTGACTATTATTATTTTAAGAAGCAGTTTGTGTAGGATGAACCCTGAAGAGATGCTTTATTGCAGTGCCTGGGTGGGGAGAGGAGGATTCCTTACTCTATTTACCTGTGCTAAAATGAGGAAGAGACAAATTCCAAATTCAGACTTGACGTAAATGGTGTGATTTTATTGAAGCCAGTCAAATGATGCTCATCTATCCTGAGCTTTGAGTGTTTGCATTTAACCTCATGTGCAATATAGAAAATGGAAAGTTTTGGCCAGCAAGAAGTCTCAGAATTTGTCATTGATTCCATTCTTCTGCAACAGGACACATTTTAGAGTTAGCCTGAACAAAGGTGAGGTTGTGAATGGGGGTGATTTTGAGAACACGACAAACAAATATATATTTATTCAACTGGGAAAGATCAGAAATTGTCTCAAATCCTTGTTATTACAGTAATGTAACTTCTATACCCAGAAGTTCTTGTGTGATGAACATACTTTCTGCATAAAAAACCAGAGTTCTTAGGCAAATGGTTGAGTTTTGTCTGGGCTGTCTGAAACAGAGTGAATTGCACTTGTAGTTATTGGACATTACTCCTTAAAAGAAGCAGGCACTGCTGGGTTTGAAGAAGGCAAATGACCTACAGCTCAGTAGAGGGGAAAAAAGAAATAACCTGTGATATTTCAAATGATACAGGGATATTTTTCAGAAGCCCCTGGTATTGCCAAAAATGAAGCTGGTATAATTGGGAAAGTAATTTAGGATGGTTTCAATTTTGCTCTTAAGTAGTGCCTGGTAGTGTAGAGCAGCTACTTTCTTAAGCTCCAGATTCACACCATGTCATTTTAAAGGAAAAATCTGGCTCAAGAGGCTTGCAGGGAGTGGATTAATAAAAGCATGAAATGTAATAGGAGGAATATTTCCTGGCACCTGGCAAAAAATTAATGTAACTAGTCGTTACCTTTGGTAGGCTTAGTGTAAGCACAGAGTTCCTCTCTGTGGCAGATTGTTTGTAATGGCATAGTTTACATAATTTTATTTGGAATGAACTGTAAGAAAAGTCAGTGATCTAAATATGATCTTGAGGAGCATGATTAAAATCTGTACTTCTCATTTTAGGTTGTCCATCACGACCCTTGCCGGGGAGGGGCAGGACAGTGGAACAGCTTGTTTAGGTTTAAGCATTTGGCAACTGGGAACTACTTGGCTGCAGAGGTAAGGATGTGCAATGTTTGCAACTTGGCTGGTTTATTATCTGGTTAAGGCAAAATAATATTTGACTCCCCAGAAGAGCAGCTTAATGTCTTTTAAGACCCATAATTGTCCTTAAAAATCAAATATGGCTTTTGACAAGCTGGAATAGAGCAGATAATACCAAGTTTATGAAATGGTACAGTCTTGGATTTTTTTCATGGTTGTAAGAAGCTGTGAACTTTTTAAGTCACATCTAATTCATATTAACACTGGTCTGTGTCCAAGTTATATCTGTGGAATGAAAAGCAGGTTGTTTTTTTCCCTGCTGATTTAGTTAGGTCTGTGCAGGATTGCTTCTTTTCACTTATACTTTGAAGTATGAGTGTGAGAATTTACTACAAGAACCAGTTATAAATCACTGTATGTTAGTGAATCCCTGAAAAAAGACTAACTGAGTTGAGTTAGTGCAACTTCTGTATGCAGACAACTCCTTAGTATTGCCAGGGTGCTGCTTTAATTTTCCAGCTCCTGTCACAGCCTGCACTGATTTGAGAGTAAGAGCAAAGAGGAGCTATCAGACCTTTACTTATTTCTAATTATGTCAAAATCAGTGTCAAATCATAAACAGTGGACTGCTAATAATAGATAATTTTCAACAGGCAACCAGCACTCCCACCTAAGAGTGGGAGTGTTTTCCTTTCTGCTTACAGTGAGAGATGTTCCTAGTAAGAATATTTTACTCAGGCTAGCTAAGCTGATAAGAGTCAGGAAAGGCATCAAATACTCTGATGGGCTTCCTTCTCCCACCACACCAGAATGATCTGGCTCAGGGATTTTCAGGAGAAAAATCTTCAGGTGAAGAGTTGTCAAACTCGACCTTTCTACCTTTCTGGAAAGAAAATCCCCATTGGGAAGACCTGTCATATGGAGAATACAATTGGTAGAGTGAGAGCTGGAGGAGCTTTTGGGTTGAACAGAGATGCTATGCTGTGACTGGAGAGCAGCGTTAGTGACTGTATCTATGAAGTGTGAAATACCTGCTGGTGGAGATATTAAAAAGCACTGCTGTAATAAAAAGCTGTGAACTGTATTTTGCACAGTTCATATGTCAGGCACAACACACCAACCAGTCAGACACGTCAGAGATTTACGAACAGGCAGGCAGACACCTCATGTGTGTGATCCAACTTTAAATCAATTGGGCAAAGCTTCCTGAACACTTATCTGTGCTCCTGCAGCACAGGGAGATTACTGATGGTATGGATTATCAACAGCGTCACACATTGCCATGACCTGATTTTGTTTAAGCTTCCATGATAAAGATATCTAGAGTGGAATAATAAGTACAAACACAGGGACGAAATTCCCAAATCTTTTAAGCAGTCTGTTGTTGGCTAATGATTCTGTCACAGTTTGAGCTGTTGTAAATCAGGATTGATCACTGTTTATAACAGTCTTTTTCTTATTCCGTCCTCCCTTAAATCAACTTGATGTGTACCATGGAGACTTCTGCAGTGGAATGTACATGGGTCAAGCCTCAGACAACGAGCAGAAGTGTCCTTCACCTGGGTGTCTCTGCTTCTCCACAGCTGGGCTCATACCTTGTGTGAGCAGTGCTGTGCTTTCTCTTTTTCTCTGTGCCAGATGTAAACTGGTTCTTCTGGTTTGTGACCTTGTGGGTCACTCCTGAGCCGTGTTGTCAAGGGATGCCACTGCAACTTGTTAAGGCCAAGAGATGATCTGGGGAGTAAGAAAAATTGAAGATATTTGCCTCAGAGGATTTAGTAATTTAAAACTGATAAAAGTTGTTTCAATACTGCAGTAAGTTAGAAAAAAAAGAAAAAGTGAAGCAATAGAGTTCTTCGGTAAACAAAACATATGGGCGAGTACTTGTAAACCTAATTCTTATAAACTTGGGAGAATAAAGCCAGGATGTGTAAGTCCTAAATTCCATGTTCCTTAGAATTACAATCAGCCACCCAACTTTTGTTACCTTTGACCTCTGATACCTCTGACACCTCTGACTTCCGACACAATCTCAAGCAGTAGAATTTCCTTTAATCCTCTTGGCATTATTTAGCCTAATTTTAATTACTGTGCTCTGAAGTTCTTTAAGACCTACTAATACCTTAAAGCAACCTTGATCCTTCTACCAGACTCTGGGCTGAAGGTGAGCCACCCTGAAAGCCCCACTGTTAAAGGAGTGGGAGACATTTGGTAACTGCACATACCCGTGTTGTCATTGACATTGGGAACATTAAGCCACAGGCTCAGACATTCCTAAAAGATTGAAATCATAAAAAAGTGGAACCAAATACGCAGCTGAAAAATTGGGAAGAGAAACTGTCGTCTTTGGAGACAGTGGGAGTTCCTCTGTTAGTGTCAGAAGGGCTTGATTTCACCCAAAAGAGCTGAGCCAGATCTTTAGCAGGAGATTTAGATGCTAAGCCACCAGCTAAGATCCAGGCTGCTGACTTTTATTCTCATCTTCACAGAGTCAACAATCTCTCAGAAAAAGTTCTGTGAAGATTCTTTTTTTAGCCCTGGTTACAGCAAAATGACCCAAGTTATTTCAAATCTTGGTATTTATGAAGAGAGGCTGTAAGGTTATGTGAAAATGGAATGTTTCAAAGTAACAAAGGTTGTCCCAAAAGTCTTTCTGGTGCATGTTGCACATGTAGAATGCACATGTGTAGAATCTCTATGTGTGTGGGAGTGAACTGCAGTTTACTCAAACAGCCTTTGAGATGTTGCAGGTTGGGCCCACACAGCTGTACCTTTCTCATGAACACACATAACCTTTTCAGTATTCAAGATAAAAATCACTTTGAACTGAATATCAACTTATCCATTGTGCTGAAACCAAAACATGCACCTTTAATACTGTTCTCCATGTGTACAGCATCTCTAGTTCTGTGATTTTCAAACTAGATAATTTGTCCTGAGACTACTATCATTTGCTGTATGAGGCTGTTAAACAGAGATAAGTGTGCCCATGCACACACAAGAAATGCAGGATAAGTCTACCATTTCAAGTTCAGCTTCTCAGATGAGGTGAATGTGGCTAAAGTCATCATCATGGCTGGGCTTCGCGAATGAAGATTTGGGAAGGCTCTATGCACATTTGTTGCAGGCACGCTGGTGGCTTATGAGGCCAATACATGACAGACATATCCGATTGCAAAAGGCACAGCAGAAAGACTCCTTAGATGGTGTATTCTGCAAGACACGGTTCTTTCTGCGTTGCCTTTTCTCCTCAAGGGTGATCCTGCGTGTGTTCTCGAAGGAGACAGCTGCGTTATAGATGATGTGTCTCCAGACCTCCCGATTTGAGGCCAGAGTAAACCAGTTATGGTGATCAATATGGCCAAGGCTGAGATGTTGTTTCAGGGAGTCCTTATATCTTTTCTTTGGGGCTCCTCTCATGCGGCAGCCAGTGGCAAGTTCACCATAAAGCAAGATCTTAGGGAGGCGGTGGTTGGTCCTTCATCCTTGAGACGTGCCCTGCCCATCGCAGCTGTGTTCTCAGTAACATGGCCTCAATACTTGTGACAGCTGCTTGTTCTAGAACAGATGTATTGGTCACATAATCTGACCAGTGGATGTTTAGGATTGTACAGAGACAGCGTTGATGGAAGCGTTCTAGGAGATGTAGGTGGTGGCGGTAAATGACCCATGATTCGGAACTGTATAAGAGAGTAGACAACACTATGGCTTTGTAAACACTGATCTTGGTGCTTTTCTTCAAGTGTTTATTACGCCATACTCTTTTGTGGAGTTTTCCAAAAGCACTATATGCCTTTGCTAACCTGTTGTCTATCTCTCCATCAATCTTACCATCTGAGGAGATGAGGCTACCAAGGTAATTAAACTGCTGAACTGATTTGAGCTCTGATTGGCCAATGGTGATATGGGGATGATGGAAGACTTCCTGAGGTGCAGGTTGATGGAGGACCTCTGTCTTTTTTAAGCTGACTTCCAGCCCAGAGAGCTCAGCAGCATCTGCAAAGCAGGATGTTAAACGCTGCAGGGCTGCTTCTGTGTGGGCAACAAGGGCGGCGTCATCAGCATAAAGCAGCTCCCGGACAAGATGGTTTAAGGTCTTGGTGTGGACCTTCAGTCGCCTTAGATTGAATAGACTTCCTTCAGTATGGTATCGAATGTAGATACCGTCCTGATCATCGAGGTCTGCTGAGGCCCTTTGGAGCATCATGCTAAAGAAGACGGTGAATAGGGTAGGAGCGAGAACGCAGCCTTGTTTCACACCATTCTTAATTAAAAAGGGCTCAGAAAGTGTGTTGCCATATCTGACTTGGCCATATCTGACTGGCTGATCCTCATGGAGTGAGATGATCATTTTAAGGAACTTGGGGGGACAACCTAAACGTTCCAAAATCTGCCACAGACCTTTTCTGCTCACAGTATCAAAAGCCTTGGTGAGGTCGACAGAGGTTACATAGAGACCTTTGTTCTGTTCCCTACACTTCTCTTGCAGTTGTCTGAGAACAAATACCATGTCTGTGGTGCTCCTGTTGGCTCTGAAACCACACTGACTTTCAGGAAGGATTCCTTCTGCTGTAGTGGGTATTAGTCTGTTCAAGAGTATTCTTGCCAGGATTTTTCCAGCAATGGAGAGCAGAGTAATACCACGATAGTTTGAGCAATCTGATTTAATACCTTTCTTCTTATACAAAGTGTTGATGACTGCATCTCGAAGGTCTGATGGTAGTTCACCGAGCTCCCAACAGCGCACCACAAACTCGTGAAATTTGGTGTGGAGTGCAAGGCCCCCATGTTTCCAGACTTCAGGTGGAATTCCATCAACCCCAGCTGCCTTGCCGATTTTCACCTGCTGTATGGCCTTGAGGGTTTCTCCTAAAGTGGGGGCAGTATCCAATTCATATTTTACTGGTTGTTGTGTGATGGACTGAATTGCTGAGTCTTGGACTACACAGTTGGTACTGAAAAGAGTCTGAAAGTGTTCAGACCATCGATTCAGAATGGAGGTTTTATCTGTTAGA